CACTCAAATGACCTAACAGCTGATCCTCAACTGTTTAGAAGGATAATACATTCTTGAGAAGAGAAAATAGAATCGTGTATTCCTCGAAACGTAGGACATTTTGAACACTCACTCTAACTGATTCAATATTTCATGTTTCTAGTCAAATATCTCTTAATTTTCTACTTATGATTCTTTGTTCCATCAATAACTTCAGCACAAGAATAATTTTATTGTTTTTGAATCTGAATAAATAGGTAATTGAACTCAATAAAATTCATTTTATACCAGCATCATTACTACTCCAATATTTTCACGAGAAGTACCTTTTTGGTATGAAATTGAATGAGGTGCAAGTTCATATCATATTTGGATTGAAAAATCTAGCCTCAAGAAAGTTCTATAAACTACTCGGTATTAACCGTGTAACTAGCGCCCTCTATGAGAGTCAGATATAAAAACAAATTCTTGCGATATGTCAGATTTGAAGAAACATCCGTACAAAATTTCATCACGATGTTGCCAGTAGTTTCGACATAATCGTGAAAAATGTGTAAAAATTCATTTTTTCGACACCTTGTATCATGAAAATGAATGCCGTTAGGACATTTTTTCACTGAGCTAACCCAATTTATTTTGCAGCGTTCTACCTACCCTAGCAAAGGGGTCAGGTTTTTTTGAAACACCCTGTATATCCTACTTTCCCAATCTGAAGGAGCAGTTACCTGTGAACAGGTTCGATTCAATTTCGGAAATCAGGCACAATATCTACAAATACGGTGAACCGGATCAACTTGAAAGGGTTGATATCAACCCGAAAATGAAGGTTTATAAAACCTGTCCACAGGTAACTAATCCTTCAGGTTGGGGAAGTAGGATGAGGTTAGTTCAGTTCAATGAAGCTATACTGTGTTATCGTTCGTGAAGTTTTTACATTACCCATGAATTTCCATTTCCATTGACTTGAAACGAGCGTTTGAAACTATTGATCGAAAAATGTTGCTGAATAAATGTGAACAGTATGGAATGAAGGGTGTCGTGTTGAAATGGTTAAGAAATTATCTTGAAGACCGATTTCAAACAACCAAGTATCAAGATCACTGTTCGGAAAAAGTTGGGACTGAATATGGGGTGCCTCAAGGCAGTGTATTGGGTCCGCTATTGTTCATTTTGTATATCAACGATTTGGGCAATGCTTTACAAAATTCTTTTGTTAATATGTTTGCTGACGATACCCTGATTTCGATATGCGGAAAAAATCATGAGGAAGTAGTTATTCAAATGAATGCAGAACTCAAAGAATTGAGTAACTGGTTGAAATATAATAGGTTGAAGCTTAATGTCAAGAAAACGAAATGTATGGTTGTGGGCTCAAAAAATAACTGTAAGTCATTCTCAAACGAAAACCACGTTATTCATATAGAACAGGAAGTGATTGACTTTGTGCAGGAGATTAAGTACTTAGGAGTACAAGTAGATTCATATTTAAACTTTGGGCCTCAAGTGAATAATATTTGTAAAAAATTAGGGAAAAAAATTGGATATTATGGAAGAATATCTAGAAAACTAACATTTTGGGCTAGAAGAGTAGTATATAACACCATTATTTACCCACATTTTCAATATTGTATGTCTTTACTTACCTCTTGTACAAAAAGTGATATACAGAGAATTCAAAAGCTGCAAAATAAGTGTATGAGAATATTACTCCAATGTGATAGACACACAAAGATTACAGATATGCTTAGGATGCTGAAATTTCTAAATGTTGAACAAATGATCGAAGAATCAAATTTAGTACTGATATACAAAATCATGCACAAACAGGCTCCTATGTATCTGCAATCTTTCCTTGTGAAAAGATCGGAAATGCATAGATATAACGTCAGGTCAAGAGAAAATTTCCATATAGCAAGATGTCATTCGAATGTTCTACAAAAATCTCTTTTCGTCCAGGGATTGCATCATTTCAACAGCCTTCCACTTATTGTCAAAGTTGTACCAAATATTAAAATTTTTAAGAATATGTTACGAAAAGTTTACTTTAAGATTTAGTATAGGTTATACGTATAGTTAATAGTTATTTCAAGAATTTATACTTTGTAAATATGTTTATAATTGTAAAAAATATGATGAGGAAACTAGCGAAAGCTAAATAAATCTTTCAAATCAATCAAGTAACGGCCGAGTTAATTCAAAAAAAGAATAAGTATGTGGTATATTGAAAATACAATATATATCTATCGCTCTGTACATATGAATAAGGTTGCCTTGGGTAAGGAACAATTGTGATATTGTTGGGGTTGTTGGCAAATAGATTATTTTTAAAGAACGATTTGTGTAGTTTTTGTTCCTAGTTAAATTACTAGGATTCTCGGAGTAGTCTTCCGAAATACTACAAAGTGTATGTTTGCACCCCTGTACGAAGGAGGTGTCGATAGATTGATACACCGAGTAACTGTTGGTATGATTGGTACAAGAAAGGTCGAAAACCTATCTTAAATTATGAATGCAGCCCAAACAGTTGGGAAAATGCAGGAGAAATTCAAATTATATGGAATACAATCATGATCGAACTTCTAACGAATCAAATTCAACCAGTTGTTGAAATTCAAACTTGTTATCTATTAACATGGTTCCTCATCAAATTCCTCATTCCATGTTCAGTAAACAGAAATGATAGATCTTAAACCAATATCTCATCAGATTCATACAATGAAACAATTCAATTCATTCACGTACAAACGTTAATTAAAATTCAATATCAACGTTATCATTCAATATAGGTACTGCAAGTAAAACATTTCTTATTTGAACTACACAATCAATCCATCTCTATTACGTTGTGCTATTACCATACTAATTACTGAAGTTATCTCCCCTTATTCTAACCATCCAATCCCATCTCATCTTGTATTTATTGAAGCTGTTCCAACTAGCTTTGCAATCACGCAATACACAACTATGACTCATCAGTGTGTACAAGAAATCTCTTGTTACTAAAATCACATTCCTAACTCTCCCCACTCCCGACACTAAAGTGACTACTTTCCTTAGGACATCCATACTATTTACGTTGAGAAGGTTATGCTGAAACTCTGAAGAGCCAAAAACACTACTTATTCCAATTGTACCCTTTGATTATAGTTGTTACGAAGTACATTTGTGTAAATAGTAAATTATATTAATTCACACTAGAGGACATTTGAAGCGGTCAACACGACAACACCGCCCAGCGAGCACAAACATCCCTGGGATGTTTTGGGATGTTTTGAAAATGTTGGCATGAAGATGTTATTTTGAGACGTAATATGCACTGACCAAAGAGGTCTTTGAAGGATATTGAAGTATTGTTTTTGTTCTTCGGTGGCATTTCTTTGTTTGCCTACTGAGAGGTATCCCTGGGATGTTTTGGGATGTTTTAGAAATGTAGGCATGAGGATGTATTTTTGAGGCGTAATATGCACTTCCCAAAGAGGTCTTAGAAGGATATTGAAAGTATTGTTTTTGTTCTTTTGTGCCCTTTCTTCGTTTGCCCCACCACAACGTCTCATGCTTACGTCACAATACGATGAATTCTGATTTGTTTTCGATTTTGTTCTTCTTGTTCGCAATTGGCATTCGCGTTTGCAGCGTGTCACGCTTACATCACGCTGCTAACGAACAGAAAGGAATTTGGTGAAGTTTATTATGTTAGAAGACTTATTTAGTTTGTAATAATGACCATCAGATGCAAGATGTGTTGTTCGGTGCCTCAGTGTAATCAATATATGAAAGTACGAATTCATCGACACACAGCTCCTCCGCAGTTGCGAAATTATGCATTGTGGAGAACATTTCAAAAATTGGGAAATCTATTTCCAATTATATGTCTGTGTGTAGTAAGAACTACTCAGAAACCGATTAAGAAGGTAATTTCATATCAAGAAAATATTTTTATGTTCAATCTATTTTTAATGCAATTTTTCATTCAAGGGAAATGGAATCCTAATACAAAAGTTCATTTTGACAAAAGGCTTTAGAAAAGTACCTCGAAATTGTTTTTTTTAGCGATTTAATGTGCGCAAGACGCGTTGAATATGTTCTGTTGTGTCCATGAAGAGGCTTTGAAAAGAACTAGGGAGAAGGTAGTTTTGTGACATATCAAGGACATCTCGATAATTGCCGCCTGCGGCGGACATTGGCTGTTCTATATTAGTTCTATTCATGTGTGAACAGAACATCGCAGTGGAAGTTCAATGTTTCGAAATCTCGTACTTTTAACATCTCTGAGATGTTTTTGTGCTCGCTGGGCGCGCGCACAACTTGTAGGCGTGGTCTTGTCCCTTCTCAGCATTCAGCACAATATTGCCAAGTCTCCAACATTTACATGAAATTTTGTTACGGAGTATGGAGTATATGGACATGCTGGTTGCTCGAAACAGTCAAGAATACACTATAATATGGGTTCCTCCTATTATGTTTTATTCAACGACAGGACTCTTACATCTTTTTGATAACTCGTTAATAATTGGTGACGTGACACTGACAACCTTGCTTCGTGAGTGGAAAGTGAGTGAAAATGGAATATTATTTGACCAATAACGAAACAATATAGTAGCTTTCGTCACCATTTATTCGACATATCGTCAAATGGTGACCATGACGGTACGTTTGAAATGAGCTCCGAAATTGAACAATTTCGAACAACGCATACAATCATTATTCACATAAAAAAGTGTTGCGAAAATTAATTCAGGTCCCTAACGACACAGTTTAGTAATTGAATGCCAATAATTCATTATACTTACTTGTCAGTTAGCGGTAGATGTTATGTTCTCATAGATCAATACTTCTGTTCTTAGCGGTCTCTTGAATGAGCTTCCAATCACTGATTGAATTTATAATAATCATGTCCCTCATTTTTTCCAACAAAGGCTGTTTTTCTACTGAAAATACATGATAGTGGTGTGCACTGTACTACGATAGAGAAGTCAGCAGATCTCCACATCAATCTAATACAACTTCCTAATTTTTTTCAGTTGAACATCAAGACAACCATCGGTTTCATTCATGGATTCAAGGACCAAGCGAAAAAAGTGACAACCTTCTACAACTATTCAACCACAATGCTCCATTGACTACCTCATATCAAACACAAACATCCCAAAATGCTGAGCAAAGGACCACCAATGAAACCATCCAGCTGAAAAATCAATGTACGCCATGGAGGAAAATTTCACCATCACCAACAACCTCACCACCATGTGGCCGATAGCCGACAACTCCTCAGAAACTCCACCGGTTCCCAGCTACATCAACATAACCATGGAAGTGCCCATCGCTTATGCGGTACCCTTGTACGGCTACATAATGCCCTTTTTGCTGGTAGTGACCATGGTGGCCAACACTCTGATAGTCGTGGTGCTCAGCAAGAGGCACATGAGGACACCTACGAATGTGGTTCTCATGGCCATGGCCATCTGCGATATGTTCACGCTGTTGGTACCGGCGCCTTGGTTCATCTACATGTACACCTTTGGGAACCACTACAAGCCGCTGTGGCCGATCAGCGTGTGCTATTCTTGGGATATGATGCAAGAGGTGAGTGCTGTTTTTCTAGAATTTTTTACGTTTCGTATTGACATCCTACGGAAGCATATGAGTGCCATGAGTTTTTTGCTATCATTGTCCATAGGCGTTCTGACTTTCATTCCAAAATTTCTACTTTCATTCCTCGTATTCCTCTCTGACGTAAATAAATGCTCCTTATGCTTCGTGAAGCTGAAATAGTCTAGCAACATACCACGCTGTTCTGAATATCTCATAATTCTGTCTTTCATTGTTAACTCAATTGTGTTGCCGTACACAATTCCGTGAAAAAAACAATTCCGTGAACAATAAAGCGACAGAATTAATAATAATAATAATAATAATAATGGTCTTTATCCATCAATTACAAATTGCATCAAGATTGAGAGTGTTTGATAATGCATTGATGAAGGGCGAAGTTCAGCTTAACCCGGTAGAAGGGCATTTCTATTACTCAGAATATATTCCTGAACAGATCAATTCAATATAAGAACAAATAAGAGGAAAAGTTTTATGATCATAGTGAAAATAATAATATTTACAAGAAAATAATGAATATAAGTTGAATATTAAAAATAATGATACCAATAATAATAGCAGTGATAATAATGAAATATTCATAATGTAAATATAAGAATAATGAAAATAATAATGATAATAATTATAATAACAATGAGAGTGATAATGATAATAATAATAATGATAATTTCAATGAATTTGAAATAATAATAATTAATAATAATAACGATAATGAGGATAATAGCAATGATAAGAATATAAGTCATGTACCATTTCATTTGCCTGTCCAAGAATATCTCAATTCACATCCTGCTCAATAGTAATTGTTTAAGGCGTTTCTTGAAATTCAGTATCGTGTAGGACCTAATTTCCACGGATAATTGGTTATATTCAGTGCAAGCCTTGTATGAAAAAGACCTCTCGAATAGCGCTGTATTATGCCTGGGTATTACTAAGGTAAGTCTATTGCGTGTAGGAATTTGATTTATATCTGAAAATGTTTGCAGTTTGTTGAATAAATACTCAGGTTGCTGGAGATTTATAATTTTGCGAACAAGATTCAATAAATGTAATAAGCGATAGTTCTCAAGACTCAACCAGCATGAATTCTTCAGTTTGTGAGTGACGTGGTCAAATTTTCTGATTCCATAAGCGAAGCGTAAACAACTATTTTGAATTTTCTGCAAACGTAAGGAATCAGATTGAAGTATCGCAGGCCCATATACTGAGTTGCAGTAGAAAATTTTGGAAAAGATTAGCGATTCGCAAAGTTGTAGTTTAAGTTTAGTGGAAAGTAAGTCGCGGTTAGGATAGAGTTGTCAGAAGATTGGATCAAAGTAGAGCAAAAATTCAGAGCATCGTGATATTACTGATATTGCTTATGAAAACATGAATTAGTCAGAGAAGAGTCAAGAATCTAGATGAAATCAACACACTATGATGGGTGTTCTCGGGTAACTATTCTAACTTGGAGAATCGGTGGGATAAATGGTATCACTTTCCCTTTGTACAATTGATGTCAGAATTTTGTTGTTATCGATAATTTCGAAGTATATGTCATTGATTTGTAATGAAAGTTCCATATTGCAATTCAGTCGTTTAGTACTCAAGATTGGTCCTTCGAGCACTCACAGAATAAAGTTTATGAACGCAGCCTATGTGATCGATTGGGTATATGTCTAAAACTCGAGGAAAGATTCTGATAGGTGTCATACACACGTGACCCTTTGGAACATTAATTAGCTATAACTATGAAGGGTCAAAAAGTGGAATGAGATGATAAATTATCCAGAAAAGTTATTCGATTGCCATCATTTCCATTGTTTTTCGATGTCTTCAGAAATAGCCGAGGAAATATATCCACGCTTCAGTCATTAATTTCTTTAGATATCAAAATATACTTTCTGCTCATTTCAGGTATAAAAAAATCTGTTATTGAATTCAATTGTTCTGTTGTGGTGTTGTGAGCTGTGAGACATATAACCTCTGATTCCGTTTTAGTTCTAACTGACAACCTGACGAACTGTAATAATTTTCAGTCTCACCAGTTGACACTTCGAAAACTTGAGGACAAGTCAAAAAGGCAATAGCCTGTTTCATTGAATAGACTTGAGCAGCCTCGAAACCGGTGTGTAGGTGTCTAGCGTGGCCTGGCTAAATCGAAATCAATAGGCATCCAGGAAAGAATAACTTGTATCACTTTGAGCTTTTTGTATTTATTCATCATCGGAGAATATTTCAATAATGCATCAGTTAACAAATTTTCTGAAGACGCCATATTGAATGTCCGCCATTACTGTTGAAGAATAAATCTGAGATGGCCTCTTATCCAATTTTGAACCTTCCTAAAAGTAGTAGACGTGTTTCAAATTGTATTCTTCTGTCATTAAATGAGCAATTATTTCACCTATCTACCGGACTAAATATAATGCCTCATTTAATTCATTGAAAACTAACTGACGACAACCGCTAATGGGAGAAATCTGAAATAACTTCTAAATTCTGTGTGGGCGTGTTTCATCAAGTTTCCATGGAATTGTTTGTGTTGACAAAAATAATTAATTTCTGAGTGTCGTTTAAGTTGAGAGTGTTTGGTTATCTGAAATATGCTGGAGGAAAGGCAGTGAGTGATGTGAAAAAAGCTGAACATATATAGTCACGCGATAAATAAATGCTCTTCAACACATTTCGAATCGAAATAATATGCAGGCTGAATCCTTTTTTGATTCGTAGAAATGAAGTGGATTATGAATCTAATATGAGAACCCTAGAGAAGTTGACCCAATTACCAAGATATAAAAATTGCGCTACTCGTCTTCAAGAAAGTTGAAACAATTTCCCTCCATCAGATGAATGGCGAACAGAAGTTGTACAGAAGTTGTCTCGAAAAGACAATGTAACGCAATGGTAGTTTTCTATTTACATTTATTCACTTTGAAAAGCGGCCCAAAGACTGCGTTGTTAGCAGGCTGTTTTGTTCGACGAACAAGTCTGGTGGCTGTAAAATGTTCGGTTTCGCCGGCCTAGTCCGGGAAGTACATTTTTCCCGGACTCGGCCGGAAAAATGCTCTTTCTCAAAGAAAAAGCGTCTGGGCAGTACTGCACCTTCCGGACGGTTGCCGAAATAGTAAGATTTTTTCTGCAAGCGTAGGAATTTGATTGATTTGTTCAATCAATCGTTCCTGCATATATAGGAACAACTAACAGTATCTTCTAATAATGAGTGATATATCTATTGTGTGTACCATTTGAAGCTTATTGCGGAAGTCAGCATGCCCATGGTGTTTGGCCTCTAGGTTTCAGACATTTCTAGGAAATGAGCCAAAAATACATCTTCTTTATTAAATTTGGTGTTTTCACTCTTTTACTATTGCACCATTCAATAAATCCCGTGTAGTGCTTCTCATACCTTTCTTAAGACTTCGTTGGCAATATCTCTTCTGTATCGCATCTGTAGCTGGAAGTTTTTTATCGCAATGCCACTGAATTGAATATGACGTTACGCTGTGTCTGTCACTCTGAGAATTACGCTAATTTGTGTTTTGATTGACATGACAACAATTGTTTCCCCCCACATCAGATCAATTAAAGGCGCAGGGGGATTTATACAGGGTGGATCACGGTGGATGGAATATTAGAAGTATCTGGAGAACGAAAAGACAGAACATTCTGAAAATTGGGATGCTTTGATAATTGAACATTCTCTATTCGTATAAAATGATAGATTCTTCCTGAGGAGCTGATTTCATCAATGTATCACACTTGGGGGTCTAGCAGAAATGATTACAGAGATATGGGGCATTCAAAATCTGGATTTTTCAACTTTACGATTTTTTTGTGACGATACTATTCATTTTTGATCAAAACGGCTTACATGTCCCTATCATAACTTTTGATTCTCTATCTACTGGAATTTAATTGGAAAAAATACAGGATGCTTCATGATTCAGAATTCTGATCACCCTGTATCTGTTCCAATTAAATGTCAGTAGATAGTGAATCGAAAGTTGAGATAGGGACATGTAAACCATTTTGATCGATAATGAATAGTTTTGACAGAAAAAAATCCCAAAATTGATAAATCTCGATTTTGAACACCCTATATCTCTGTAATTATTCCTGCTAGACCCCAAGTGTGACATATCGATAAAATCAGCTATTTAGGAAGAATCTGGAAATGCAATAAAATACAGGGTGCTCCATTTGAATTAACAAAGTTGCTAGTTGTTTCTGATAGAAGTGACAACACTGTATCGATGAAAACATTTTAGACGAATAGAGCATGTGCAATTATCAAAGTATCCTAATTTTCAGAATGTTCTGTCTGTTCGTTCTTCAGATACTTCTAATAGGCCATCCACCGTGACCCACCCTGTATAACAATCAATTATTGTTTTTCAATATTTCTTCATTTTCACAATAAATAGTGCAATTTGTTGGATGATTTTGTACAAACTCACTAAATACTGCAACTAAAAAAACCTCAAATTTTCATATTGTGTCACCCACCATCCATATTTTGCGAGAATATTCTATAAATGTTTATCCCGCACTAGTGTGGGAAAATAACACTTCTCAAACTAAATTGCGTGCGGATATAGGATGAATCATATACGCTTGTAGAAAATTAGTATATTGTGCAAAAAGTGGGAAAAGTTCAACTTTTCTCACGAGTGCGAAAGTTTCTGGCACGAGCCTGAAAGGCGAGTGATGCAAACACACGAGTTAGAAAAGTACTTTTCCCCACATGTTGCACACTTTGCATACTTTTTCAACAACTGCACTTATCCAAAGAATCCAAGTAATGTAACTTATTGGTATTCAATTTATATTGTGGCACTATGCCACATTGAATATTGTGACCAAAGAGTAGACGCCTTTCCGAGTTCTTCAAAGTATTTCAAAAAAGTACACTTTCCGAAAAAGATTTCATTTCTGTATTTTTTTCAGATTCCATGAATTTTTCGTATATGCCAATTCATACTTTTTCTTGA